TGGGGACAATATTCTTAATGCGTAGAGATGAGCCAGCTTTGTAGCTAATTTCATAACTGTCAGAGAACAGGTAATCCAAATCAATTTCCACATCCCCCCCCCCAATCACTGTCATGTGGTAATACTCTGGTGTTGCCATGTTTTTAACCATATCCTGCAGGACATGTTCAAAGGGGGAGGGGAACCCTTAACTTTGAAAGGGAGGTTATATGTCCATTTGAAGGCACATTTACAAGAAACCACAGAAGAATGATGGGGGAAGGGGGCGAGATCACCTCATGGTGACTTCTTGTCACAGATTATCACATAAAGGTCTCCCTCAAAGTGAATTCACATAAAATTTTAAAAAATGAGTTTTTCTTCATTATCGCACCATCCCTCGTGATTTTTGTCTTCTTTGGGGCAGAATTTGTGGGAGCAGGTTGTCTGGCTCTTTTGTTGTTGTAACAATTATATATTTTATTTACTTTGTGGATTCTAGTGGATATGCATTATATTCTAGTGGATATGCATTATCCATAAACTACTAAGGGGGAAAATAAAGAAAAAATGGAAGAAATCACTCTCACATACTAAATACAAATTAAGAACTAGCACACGCATGCCACTCACAATGGAGTTGGGGAGGATGCTGGGAGTTCACATCCAGCTTTCCCCGTCAGATACTGCTTGAAGTGCTGTGGGGACCTATATAACTAACTTGATCAGAGGCCATGACTGGAGAGTGAAAAAAAGTATATACTGCCAGCAATGATATACTATCACTTTCAAACTTGATGAAACATTACCAACTGTATAATGCAGCCTCTGAAGACAGAGATTCAGTCTTTTTTTACCTCACAATTCATGTCACACATCTCTTGTAAGAGCAAAGCTCAAAGGCAGAATGAATCTGTATAGTGAATGTAATCCAGTGAACATTTGAGCCCTGAAAAATGACAGAGGTGAGAAATGCCCTCATGGTGACCACCTCTTGTCACAAATTATCACATTAAACTGATCGACCCACTGAAATCAATGGGCCTTTGGCAGACCTTTCTTTGGATCACACCTCTAGTAACACTAGGAGACCACATTGCGTTAATTATGAGTCCTGTTTCTGCATGTGGTTCTTGAAGAAATATTAACAGGAACGTATCTTTGGAAGTGCCAATTAAACATGGCATCAGGGATATCATTTTTTATTTTAAATATCTCCATACAGCCAGCAAAGTCTTCATACCCCCCCCCCTTCCTTCAGAGATAACTAAATGCCAGATATTTTAGTTCTGGACTATCAAAGATGGATGATGGTTCTATTAGACTTCAGCTTCAGACCTCAGCAGACTGCCCCCTTCTACAGTAGTTTATGCCATAACACTCTTCAGAACCCAAAGATACTTCCAATTGGCAGCCACTTTGTGACTTCAGGATGCCAGATGCAGCACCATTTTGATTTCCTCACTTCAGGTGCATTTGCAGCAATGCTGTCAAACAGCAGTGGTTTTCTATGGTTCTGTGCACTTCTGATGCAGTGAGGAGTCAACCATTCCTCCTTTTTGCATTGGTGTGCCCACATTTGCCAAAGGGAAGTAGTTTACTGCTAAAATTATTGGCAGAGTAAGTCACTGCTCTTTGTGATGGTACATATGTGTGCACTCTCGGACCTTTTTCTGAATGGTATCAGCAGCTTAGCGAGAGAGAAAAAACATGGCCACTGTTCAAAAAAGTGGGGGGGAGAGGGGTGGCCACATTGGTCCAGAATCAAGCTGACACTAAAGGGTTGAAGGCTTACACTCAGGCTAGATCTCATAACTCTGGTAAATTCCATTCTCATGAAAGCTCTTTGATATACACTATAAAAGGTTTACAAAAGGTTAAGGAGTAAAAAAAAAAAGTGGGAAAAATGATTTAATCTTATACTTGTGGGAACAGATTTGAAACACTGCCTTTTGCTCCAAGACAAATCAAGGTGGAGCCATTCGCCATCTTCATTCTTAGGGATACAGCACAATTGTGAGATTCGGGGACAACAGCAGATATTTTGGGCCTTTGGCCACGGTGTATCTGTGGGTCCCCATGATTGTTCCTTCTCCCCTCCTGCTTCTCTGCTCTCTTCCCCCCCCCCTTTTGTAGCTCCCTTCTTTAATCCAACCCCCTATCATAGCTCCATCACAGGATGCCATCTCCCTCTTAGGAAATGCCTGACAAGGGTGCCTGGAAAAGACAGGAAAGCATGGGCCTCTTGGATTTTGTTTACTGCTGCCAGATGTTTTCACCAAAGGAAAAAGGGCTATGTATCAGTGGTGGGACCCCCTACTGTGGTTGGAGACCACAGTAGACACCAGATCGTGCTGACCCTTTTCCTACCGGTGAGACTGACCCCCAAACAGCAAAAGAGAATTGTCATATGACCAAATCTTAGCACTGCATCCAACCAGCTTTTCCACTCTCGAAACAAGGAGGTGGGGGTATCCTTTGACCACCATAAAGGCTATGCTGGGGATCATGAGACCTGCATGGACAAAAGCCATGTGGGACAGGGGCTCTAATGAAGAGGAGAATTAGGTGAAATTGAGTGAAAAAGTTGGCTGGTTCCAACCCTTATTGTGGCAAACTGGATTACCAGGGGTATCTTCATTAAGAAATTTAAAAGTCTGACTTTGGAGAGAATGATACCCTACTATCCTACGGTGATTAAAAGGCAACAACAGCCATATAGGATCAGGATGAATATCCGAGTGTGACTCTGACAGTTCTCGAGTCCTGGAAATGCTAAAAGAAAGCAAGCCAACAATCACAGTCTTTACTACAAAGAATACTGCACCGGCAGGATTAGGATTCACAGTCTCAGCATTTCCTCATTGGTCTAGCAACAGTAGAGGGGGAAAAAAATTGGCAGTCTTGGTGTGGTTTTCGATTCATAAGAGGCAAACTCATACTGCTGCTGTCTCTTTGCTGGCATATAAGATCACACAGAGAAAGAAAACACACGATTATGCAAGACCATGAAGCAAGTGCAGTTTGACCAGTCCTTCTTGGTATTCTTTCCCCCAAGGCTATGACTTTTGTTCTGCTAGCCAAACAAAGATTTGAATGCAAAGACAGGTTCTTCCATTTTGTAGAAGTTCATCCAGGGGAGGAAAAATGTGTAGAAGAAAAGACCGGCTGGCTGTATATCACTGGAGGTTCCCTTTGGGATTAGGTATTTAGGGTTAATAAAAAAAAAATTAAACTGTTATTTGGTAAACTGGCAAAATCGTTTTAAAGTACTTCCTATTCAGTATAACCAACGGAGGATTTGTGGGCTGCAGTCAGTTTTTGGACATGCCTGCCATCTCCTAGACGTTACAAGATCTTTCTTGGTTGCATCTCCCTAATTCCAAGGAGTCCAGAAGACCACATGGATCATACCCAAACATGCCCAAGTGCTGTGGCCAAGCCGAATGATCCAGTCAGCGGCATGGCAACTGACCCATGTAGGAACCTGATGCAAGATGAGGCCCTTCTGTGTCGTTGGCACTTTGCAAAAGTCTCATTCCCTCACACATCTGGAAGCAGATCCAGTCAGTTACACCCACAAGTAACAGGGCTACTGGGACAGGTCACTGTGACAAGATCTTAGAAGCGAGCCAAGTAAGACACCATTGCCTTGGGGCACATCTGAGTGACAAGAACATGGTGGGGACTCCAGCGAGTAATCTCTTGCTGCTGCTCTGCCAGGGCAGTGTACAGCAGCCAGATGTCCCAAGTCACAGCTTTTGTCCATTTACATCAGAGAGTCCCCCACTTGTATCCATCCTTCTTTTCTGCACAGGAAAACAAGCCACGGAACCGGCAGTTTGTTTTGAGACAGATGACAGTATCGTTTATCAATTTTACCCGCCTCATCCCATCCCTATTTCAAAATACAGAAAAAGACTACTGTTAAAATACTTTTTTAAAAAAAACCCCAACTAATCTGCAGTCTAATTCTGCTTGTCCTAGACAACATTAGTGTTATGCTAGAAAGCATGATCAGTACAACTACAACAGCCACTGATAAAAGAAAGCAAGATAAGAGTCACTGGAAAAGTCTGAGATATGAAACACGCTGTATGCCATCCGAGAGTGTGTGTGCTCCAGCAGGATTGGCTTGAAACGTCTGTTCAGCATCATGCAGCGGCTGACCTAGAGACAATCACTATCTCCGCCTCAGTTTCCCACCTGCAAAGTGGTCAATATGCCAAAAGATTGTTGTTGAGGCTGAAGGCCAGACCGCAGGAGAGTAAAGCAGGTTACACCCTGGAAGGGTCTTGCAAGAGGCTGACCGAGTTCTGAGAGCTGGCCTCCCAAGAAATAAGGCAGCCTTTTTTTCCTGCTAAAATGCTCAGAGACACAGATAACACTCCTATGCACTGGTACTGTTCTCTTAAACACTGTAGGCAGATAAGTGTGATTACCAATATTTAATTAGTCACCGGGGCTGAAGCTGAAACTCAAGGATAAGACTGGAGGAGGAAGAAAGAAAAAACAGGATTACTCCAAACTCAGTCCAAGTCAGTTGCCAGAAAATGTCATTCTCTTCCAGGGACTGTGTTAACATAACTACATATCCTTGGCGACTTCCAGTCACTTTTGCAGACTCTGAGTTCATTTTCCACACATTTCTTGTTTCTGATGGATGTGGGTTTGGTTTGCTTGTTTGCTTGTTTTTAAATCAACAACCTGGAATTAAGAAGTGGTCTTCATCTGAAGCACCGAAGGAAAAGGGAAGGGGCAATATGGTGGCAAGTCGTTTTGATACCTTGTCCTTCTTTTGTGAACAGTTTGCAAGCCCGATATCTAAAACGATCTTTTCTGAGAGAAGTTCACATCATGCTCAACTCTCGGAAGACCTATATAAACACCATCAAATCTGTTACGTTCAGTTCTGTCTCAAATCACAGCAGCTGAAGACTTGGGCATTTTGAAACGGGAGAAAACAGGTGGAAAAGACCCATTATCAAGACCAAAGTCCATCCAAGACTACAAGACTGGCCATTTCTAAATCCAGGTTTGGATGGATCTAGGAGCAGTCCCAGCCAGCTACACCTTGTGGGTCCTCTGGTGCCGTACAAGGTGGGAGGCAGCCCCAAACCCTTTCCCGCAGCTGGCACATTTGAAGGGCTTCTCGCCCGAGTGAGTGGCACGGTGGCGCTCGAGGTGGGCGTTGCGTGTGAACCCTTTCCCACAGTCACCACAGGAAAAAGGCTTATCCCCACTATGGATGCCCTGGTGACGTTGGAGGTGAGCGCTGCGGGTGAAACGTTTGCCGCAGCGGACGCAGCGGAAAGGCCGCTCTCCTGTGTGTGTGCCCTGGTGACGGGTGACATGAGCGCTGCGGGTGAAGGCCTTGCCGCAGACCCCACACTCATACGGGCGCTCGCCAGTGTGCGTGCTGTGATGGCGCGTCAGGTGGGAGTTGCGCCCAAAGGCCTTCCCGCAGTAGGTGCACTTGTACGGCCTCTCTCCCGAATGGGTCTCCTGGTGCCGGGCTAGGTGGGCGCTGCGGGCAAATGACTTCCCACAATAGTTGCAGGTGTACGGGCGGTCTTCCTCTGGCACCTGCTGCCCGAGGCGTTTCCCACCTAAGGGCCGCTGCAGCCCAGAGTGGATGGCGAGGTGCCGCGTCAGGTGCGAGCTGCGCCGGAAGCCTTTCCCACAGTATGGGCATGTGTGAGACTTCTCCCCCATGGCTGCTGTCCCTCAGAACACTGTTTCGAGGGAAAGGAAGCCCTTGCTTTGATGTGTCTCTCCTTGGACTCGCTCACAGCAAGTGGTCTGGTCCAGGAGACTTCTTGTCAGCGCTTAATGAGAGGCATACCCCAGCTGCTTCTCCTGCAGGGCAATCCTGTAGCCACTCGTCCAGTGTTTAGATGTTTGCTTTGGGCTCCAAGCCTCGCTTCCTTCTAAACCTCCTTGCAAAAACTTCCGTGCAAATCTCTGGATCCAGGGGACTTTCTTGATGCCCACTAACTACTGAAGGGGGGGGGGGAAGAGAGGAAAAAAGAAAGAACATAAGATAAATGGATGCAGTTATTTTATATTTTATTTACTTCAATTCTACTACACCTTTCTCCTCAGTAAAAACATAAGAGAAGCCAATGCTGGATCAGGCCAATGGCCCATCCAGTCCAACACTCTATCACACAGTGGCCAAAAATACCAGGTGCCGTCAGGAGGTCCAGCAGTGGGGCCAAAGTGGCTCACGGCATTCTTCTGTCCTCCATTTTATCAACAGCCCTGTGAGGTAGGTTAGGCTGAGTGGCCCAGAGTCACCCAGAAAGCTTCCAGGGCAGAATGAGGAACTCAAACCTGGCTCTCCCAGATCCTAGTCTGACACTCTAACCGCTATACCACACTGGCTCTCAGGGGTCCATGAGTTCCAATATTTACAGGTGAGGATTTTTCCAAGTACCACCCTGAAAGCAACGCACAGGATACAAACCAAACCAACAAGTCCTAGCTCAGATGCTTTGGGTAAGCATGGTGGATGACATGTCCTATCAGACATCTGTGATTAATGGATGGGAAGGCTCTGAGCAGGCACTGGCAAGATTTCACTGGAATACTGGTTCTCGGATCATTTGAAGGATGTCTGCAAGCCCCCCGACAGCCTTTGTTGCATGTCAAGGAGTTCAAGGCCTGAATCCCATGGGTTCTCAGGGCAGCTGCATACAAGTAACCAGACCATCATTTATTTCAAAAAAGAATTATAAAGCTGGGTCCAATTCCAATAAACAGAAAACTTTAGTATACAGCCAACACGCCAATCCAAAATCAGGCAGCAAGAAAATAAGAAAAACCAACTGAACGTCAGGGCTTGTGTTAGTCACACAAACCTTAAATTCCAAAGTCAAAGGCCAAAGCAGAGGCATTGTCTATGTTGCTGGCAACTGCAATGCCAGCAGGTCATCGCTGAGGCCTTCAGTCCATCAGGATCTCAGCTAGTCTCTCTTCTTCAGGGCCTAAGCTAAATTATAGTTTTTGGTATGGTAGCATCAGGTAGGGTTCCCAAGTACTTACCGTGATCCGGCAGGGGACACATCCTCCCCGGCCGGAACATTCCTCCCTGTAATGCACCATGATGTTGCCAGGAAGTGACGTTGGGCGACGCTCTGACAATGGGGCTGAGCGTCGGCCGGCATCACTTCCTGGGGACAGCATGGTGTGGCGCGTCTGCTGTCTGTGCGGGAATGGTCCTGGGAAGACGTATGTGTCCCCCGCCGAATCACGGTAAGTACTTGGTAAGCCTGGCATCAGGTGAGGATTGCATCCAATCAGAATGCGTTCTTAGAAGGAGAAGCTTCTAGAAAATTACCTCATCACCTCTGACCTTATTATCTTCAAGGCCAGGGATGGAAATGGTGTGATTAGCTCCTCAGAAGAACCTGTTTCCTGTTGGATGGGAGGATCCAACAGACGACAGGTTCTCCAGAGAAGCTAAGCACACCACTTCCATCCCTGGCCTTGAAGACAATAAGGCCAAGAGACCAATTACACATGCAAGATGCACCAGGCCTGTTACTATTCACATTAACCCTTGAGGGGGAGGCCAGGGTTAGGCCTCACAATTGCAGAAGGCCCTTCCTCTTCTACTAGCACTTCTGTTTGCACAAGGGCTCACTGAACACCACTGATCTTGTGCAAACACAAGAGCCTAGCCGTAAAGGAAGCACCCTCTGTGACCAAGGCTGTCAAGCGCTTGAAGAACTCATTCACAGGATCCAAACCAGTAGCTGCCCTGAGATCAAGTGCTGTTGCCAAAAGAGAACCGTTAAGGAACTGATGTCAAGTTAGTAGTGAAGTCAGTTATGACTCTTAACATTTCGGTGGCTGGTAAAAGAAGGAAACTCACATTCCTTCCTCAGATGGACTGGTATTGATTTCGGACATATTGCCAGCATCATAAAATTTACATTTTGATGTAAATTATGAGAAGGGAGGCAATTGACAGGTATCTTTTTAAAGCAACAGACTTTTTTTTCTTATACACTGGGACAATATATTATTTATATCATTGCCCTATTAATAAGGAATTCCCCCCCCCACTTCTTCCCTCCCGTCCACTTCCAATCTGGAAAAACATTGTTGTCTTTAAATTAGCAAACAGACCAATGACAATTACTGATTTAAAAAAAAAATTTTTTTGCTCCCATAGAGGAAAGACTTTGACAATTGTATTCATTTTTTAAATATTTATACCCCACTTTTTTCTCTAGTGGGGACCCAAAACAGATTACATCATCATTTCCCTCTCCTCCATTTTGTCCTCTCAAGAGCCCTGTAAGGTAGGCAAGGCTGAGAGACAGTGACTGGTCTAGAATCACCCAGCGAGCTCCCATGGCAGAGTGGGAATTTGAACGGACCTAAATGGTGAGAATAAAATGGATGAGGGGAGAGTGATGTGAGCCCCGGGGGGGGTGGGGAAGCAGTGTATAATGAAGTAAATAAATAACTTGACAACTGTACCTCCAGCAAAGGGCAGAGATGTCCATTGCTAGAAAATAAACACTTAGAATTTATATCGCATTTTCAAGTACATTGGGCTGGATCCAGAGTGTCCCTTCTGAAGACCCAAAAAGACCATGCCAGGACTGTGGGACCTGGATGGACAAAAGCCAGGTGGGATACCAGACACACCAAGGAACAGAATGGGCTCAGGATTAATGAAAATGCTGGCCAAATCCCACCTATTGTCTTGTTATAATCATCCAGGAGATGTTTGAGGCTAGCAGAAAGTGTCTTCCCTAAGACCACACAGGGATTCAAATTGGGTCTTCCTGATTCATAGTGTACAGTGCAATCCTAAACAGAGTAATGCCCTTTCAAGTCAATGCATAAGGGTGTAACTCTGCTTAGGACTGCACAGCTGTGTTTTAATCACTGCCAGCTCTATATTAAGCATGGCTGGACATCAGCAGCTGAAGGTTTGTCAGATTAGTTCAAATTTCAGCATCTGTAATGCTACACTGCCATCAGCTCTTGGGCTTTCCTGAACCTCAGACCTATAAAATTCTTCTGCCTAGCTCTTCCTGCTGGCAGCACATAGATCTAGTTGAGGACTTTCAAAATTACTCTATTACTGTTTTCATAATTCTTTGGCGGTGTGTGTGTGTGTGATCCATGTCCTGAATTCAAAAGCTTTTGTGTAGCTGGCACGCTCTTGGCTTGTTCAGATTCGCCAGCTCAGATCTGAAAGGGTAACTTCTGAACCTTGGTGGGACATAGAAAATCAGCATGTAGTGGTTAGGGTGCTGGACTTACAGGGGCATAGCCAGAAATTTTTGGTTGATGGGGCAGGGGGAGATCGGGGGGGGGCAGCCACATCTGTTGCTCTTCTTGCAACAGCAGCAGAAGCAGCTCTGGCTCCTCTCTGTCCTCCAGTCCTCCTTGAGCCCTCTAGTCCGACCTCTAGTCCTCCTATAGCCCTTTCGATTGGAGACACTTGATTCTGGGCTGCTTTTCTGTGTAAGCCGGGTGTTTTGCAATTTTAATTTTTTGCAATTTAATTTTTTTTATTTGCATTTTTAAAAACCTATTTATTATTTGGTCTGGAAAAAAGGAGACTGAAGCTTACCTTACTATGCCAAGGGTCATTTTGGAAACCCCACGCACAACTTACATTAAAAAATATTTTTAATTTTTTTTTTGCCCAAGGGGGCGGTGTTCATCTGTTGGGGGGGGGGGGATTGCCCCAAAATGTGCCTGTGGTGATAGGCCTGATCTAAGAGACCCGGGTTCAAATCCTCACTCAGTCATGGAAGGTTCTTGGGCCAGCACTCACTCAGCCTAACCTACTCAGGAGATAAAATGGAGGCAAGAACAAGGTATGGTGCATTGCATTTCTGGGAGATGGGGTACAATAAATATATGCTAAATTCCTCTTATAGAGATATACATTGTGCCTTCTGTCTCTGCCATCATTGACCACTATCTCCATAGTGACACACAGAAAAAATACACACATGGGGACATTTTAAGTTTCCTGAAACTGTTCAAAGAAGCCCATCTAATCTAGACAAGACAGAGACAAGCCCTGCAAGGATGAATAGCCCTCTTTATCTCTTCCTCCCATCCCTCTGCGTGCAACAGCCTCTCAATTACTACAGTCTTTTTATTTCCTGAAATCCATTTTAAAAGCCGCCTGCTCAACAGATAATTTCTTGCATCGCCCTAACCTTTACAACAGACTCAGGAGGCAGCCTTCCACTGAGTCCAATCATTGGTCCATCAAGGTCAGTATGGTCTACCCAGACTGGCAGTGCTTCTACAGGGCATTAGGCAAAGAAAGGTCCTTCACATCTTGTACCTCCTGATACTACGTAAATGGAGATGCCAGGGATTGAACCTGGGACCTTTGGCAAGCCAAGGAGATTCTCTGCCACTGAGCCACAACCTCTCCTTATTTGCACCTCCCCCAACACCACTCCCACTAACGTCAACCTCTCTCCATCTAATTGCAAACACTCCAGACAGACATGAGGTCACTCTTGTTCTGTACAGCACCTAGTACCTCCAGAAGTAGGCAAGCCTTTATTTTGGATTCTTTATAGAGTAGCTTTAGCGTATAGCCAGTTTGGTGAAGCGGTTAAGAGCGGCGGACTGTAATCTGGAGAACCGGGTTTGATTCCCCAGTCCTCCACACGAACCAAGATGGGTGACCTTAGGTCAGTCACAGTTCTTTCAGAGCTCTTGCAGCCCCTAAAAACAAGTCTAGCTCACCACTAGCATAATGCTAAGAGCTAGAACTTGAGGCTGCCCGACAATCTATTCTACACACAATGCCATATGATAATTATTAATTATTATTAGTGTGCCCTGGCGAGTTAGTCAGATCCTAGCAAGGCAAATGTACATTCTCTAAACCAATAAATATGAGAAATGGACAGGTCCCTGCCCC